GTGTAGGGGTGTGATGTCCTGGGCAGGAAATGACAGTGTATTGACTACTCTTCTTTCATTTATTAACGTGTTTGGCATCCCTAATAACCTTTACTAATTCATGTTAAACCAGCACAGGATGTTTTCTGGAAGTGGGTATTCTTGAATTGGGCTGGCACGACACGTGTCATAACTGTCCTAGCACTTCTAAAGTTACTTAACATCCTTACATCTAAAGACTAGTATTATATCTACCTCTATACCACTTAAGTGTCTCATTTTGCGGTAGTTAAAGATAACACGCTGCTCAAAGTGAGGCCCTTTTCCCACTACATTCTCAACGATCTTTATGAGAAGTGATTGGTCTGTGATCGGTCCGACTTGGCCCGGGCTGTCAAAATCAACTTAAACCTCACAGATGTAACATCAAATATATTCACATCTATACACAAGTATAATATCTATCTTTATACCACTTTATAGTGCATCAGATCGCGCTATTTAAAGAAAACAAGGTGCTCAAAGTGAATCCCTTTTCGTTCTCCATTCTCAACATTGTCTCTATGAAAAGTGTTTGGCTTGTGTTGGGTCCGACTTGGCCCTGGCTGTCAAAATCAACTTAAACCTCACAGATATATCTTCAAATGTGATTACATCTATAGACTAGTGATATACCTACCTATATACCACTTTATAATGTCACAGAACATCGCATTTAAAGAAAACTGGTCCGTTAAAGTCACGCACTTTTACTGTATTTTCTTAAGGAAATCTTTGTCTGAAGTGTTTTGTCCGACTTGCCCCGGGCTGTCAGATGATGACATACAGTGGGTTCGGTACCCTTAATAAGCCGACCAGTTTGGTGAAGTAGTCCAAGACTTATCGCGGCGTCCAGGGTATGTAAGCCAGGTCATTGATCCCAACACGGACAATGACGAAATGAAAACAATGTTAAAATAACGGTCACTTCAGATGTATCTTTTACAAAAACCCAGAGTAAGGTACTTTTTTGGAAATACACACAGTGTCTGTATCTACCATTAAAACCGGTTTCAATTATCATTGTGGTGAGTTTATTATGACTGATTATTCATTACTACGTGCGTGAAAAAGTCCTCAAAATGTGAAAAATGTTTCTTCCTTTAACTGATATGATATGAAGACATCTCCTACCTTATACCTCTCAGTGCCCCAGAGGAAATTGGGAACGTCAGCCACTTTGGCTCCTGACAGAGATCTCGTCACTATGCCTTCTTTCACCGTGTGCCGTCCAAGATATTTGACCAAAGAGTCGCCAACAAGTACTGCAGTCATTGTCAGATCGTGATATTTGGAATAGGATGTCAGTGATGTTGTTGTTGTTGCATTAAGTGTTTAAGAGGTCGCCTTCTGCCTAAGCCATTTCGGCTGACCTGTCCCTCTTTGGGACTCCTGTGTGTGAGTAGGGTACACATATCTATTGTGAGTTTGGTGTTCACATAATTTCTGTTTTTGTATTGATATGATTTCTATTTTCGTATTTTGATATGATTTCATTTTTATCCGTGGCTGCTCTGTTTATATACGTTCGAGTAGCTGTCCATCTCTCAGAAATAGAGTTAGTTTGGCCTTCGCTATTGCATCTCTTGGCTTTAGGAGATCTATGACAGAAAGCGGATCTAACTGCAATTCTTGTCTTAACCTAGCCGGGGCTGGGGCTGGGGCATGGTCTTGACATTCTAGTAACACGTGAGCAATGGTTTCAGCCTGGTTGCAAGATGAACAAACCTTGTCATAGTGCTTTTTGTGACCGAGTCTGAGGTGTGAGATAGCAATTTCAATTTTCCTTTCATTTGAGTATGAGTTTGGCTTTTGTTGGACCTTGGATTGAATTTTGTATAGCCATCTGCCGATCTTACTTGCGTCCCATTGGGCTTGCCATCTCTCTGCTATGGAGGCTTTGATTTTGCTTTTTATCTCTAGTTTACTAAAGGGAATAGGCTGTATATCCCCTTTGTCTAGAGCTAGCTTCGCCAGTGAGTCTGCTTTTTCATTTCCATGAATATCTATGTGAGAGGGGATCCAACACAGCTCCACCTGTAGCCCTTGTTCCGTTAGTTTTGTATATTCGTATAGAATATTGTTGACTGTGTTTGGCCTGGAGTTTGAGTTTCTGCCATTGATGGCTTGAAGTGCACTAAGCGAGTCTGATAGGACGACTGCCTTTGCTTCCGGAGTGAGTGAGTGAGTGAGTTGGGTTTAACGCCGCTTTTAACAGTATTCCAGTTATATTACGGCGTGTCAGCTTAATGTGGGAGAAAAGCCCGAAGTGATGCAGGTCTCGGACGTTTACCACTTCGGCGAAACCCACAAGCACGGGTATGGTGCTGACAAACCTAGAAACATAATCGGGGCGGACCGGGATTCGAACCCACAATCATAGGTTTCTGGCGTGCCAAAGGGACGCAACTCTGCACAGCGAATCGCGGCGCCTTAGACGACTGGGCCACCCGTGCCCCCTTGCTTCCGGAAGTTCCGGTATGAGTGAAACCCTTTTTTTGTGACTTTCTGGAGGCTGAATGTCATCACAATTGTGACTTCGAATGAGTTCACGTACTAATATCCAAGATGGCTTTAGTGAGGGATTTTTTCGAGCTAGGGCTTCATCTCGAGTGTTTTTGTCTTGTCATATCTTTTTAACCAAAGGCTTTGATGTTCGTCCCCAGAACGATAATATTGCCTGTTCTCTTCTTAGCTTCAATAGGAGTTCTCCCGTTTCTACTTGTAGTGCTTCTGGTTAGGTGCCTGTTGCTGCGCCTGTGGCCAGCATTAGGGCTTTGTATTGTATTCTGTCTAGGCAGCTCAAGACAGTATTTGATGCTGAGTGAAAGGCCTCACAACCATAGTCCATTTTTGATCTGATAAGTGATTTGTAGAGGTCCAACTGAGTGTCCTACGATGTGCCTGAAATTGCCCGTAATACGGTCAGGTCTTTTTGACATCTGTTTTCCACATATTCTATATGTTTGCGCCATGTGAGGTGTTGATCAAGGATCACCCCAAGAAATATTGCAGATTTTTCGAATTTGATTGGTTTGCCTTTTATGGAGAGACGAGGTATCATAGCATCTTTCCCCCGGCGTTTGAATAGAACTCCAACAGTTTTTTTAACTTGAAAGGGTGAATCCCCATTTATTGCACCATTGATCTACTCCGTCCAGGGCTGACTGGAGTTTTTTTCTGATTTGTGAAATATCTCTGTGCTTTACCCATATTGCTCCGTCATCTGCGAATTTAGAAGTTTGGGTAGGAGAGTTGACATGGTCAAAAAGATCATTGATCTTGATAGTAAACAGGGTTTGGCTTATAATGCTGCCTTGTGGTATGCCATTGTCCATTGCCATGGGATCAGATTGATTGTTCCCTATTTCAACTGATAGCGACCTGTCTTGTAGAAAGCTGTCTATGAAGTTTGCCACGTTCCCTTCTACTCCATTTTCTGCTAGTTTTGTGAGGAGTCCGTCATGTCATACCATGTCGAAGGCTTTGCTGAAGTCCAGAAATACTGCGGCTAGGTATTGTCTGTTTAATTTGGCTTTTTTTATTTCATTTTCCAGTCTTAGAATATGATCTAGACACGAGTGTCCCTGCCTGAAGCCACTTTTGTCAGGTTTTATGTGGTTGCCAGTTTCAAGGTGATGCATGAGCCTTTTCATAACCATGGCTTCCATGGCTTTGCACATGTTTGAGGTGAGTGAGATCGGTCGATAAGAGTTTGGTAGGGCTTCGTCTTTCGTCTTCGTTTGTTCTATGAGTGCATGTGAATCATTTTTGTAAATGCATTCTCAACCCTCACAGGTAAATTCATAATTACATTTTAGTTACCTTCTGAGATTATAGGGGGCACGAGTGGCTCAGTCGTCTAAGGCGCCGCGATTCGCTGTGCAGAGTTGCGTTCCTTGGGCACGCCAGAAACCTATGATTGTGGGTTCGAATCCCGCTTCGCCCCGATTATGTTTCTAGGTTTGTCAGCACCATACCCGTTCTCATGGTTTTCAGTGGTCCTCCAACATTAAGCTGACCAAACTCACTCACACACTCACTCGTGTAAGTTGTTCATTTTTACAAAATAGGATTTCGATCAAAAGGTTACAGTTAAAATGACAAATACAACGTTCAATCACATGTTGAGAATGGAGAGGGGAAAGGGCTTCACTTTGAGCACCTTGATTTCATTAAATACCTCGATCTGAGACACTATACAGTGGTATAAAGGTAGATATGATACTAATCTATAGATGTAAACATATTTGGTGATGTGTGTTTAAAGTTGATTTTGACAGCCCGGTCCAAGTCGGACCGAACACAAACTAAACACTTTTGATAGAGGCTATGTTGAGAATGTAGAGGGAAAAGGGCTTCACTTTGGGCACTTTGTTTTCTTTAAATACCGCCATCTGAGACACTATAAATTTATAAATAGGTAGATATTATACTAGTCTATAGATGTAAATACATTTGATGTTACATCTGTGTGTTTAAAGTTGATTTTGACAGCCCGGGCCAAGTTGGACAGAACACTTGTGAGACTGTTGAGAGTTTGGGGAGAAGAGGTCTACTTTAACCAACGTATCTGCTTTAAATACGATGAACAGTGACATTATTAAGTGTTGTTTACTTAGATGTAGTACTATCCTAAAACTATTGTTCTTTTACACGTTACCTAGATCAGCGACTCTTACACACAGCTCCACTTTCTGGTTTTCAAGCGATTTACTCCGAATCATCTAATTATGGTGCACGTTTTTGGTCGGTGATTGTTCATTACTGTCAAGTGTGTATGTTGCATCAATAATATGTAGGTATGGTTGCCGATAATGGAGTAATTAGCCAATACAACTTTGGCCCGTCTTGGCCCGGCCCGGCCCGACTTTTAGGCAATCCCCCGAATAGGTCCAAAACTGTAGCACAATCGACTGCGACGTATTTTAACATAATATGATAAATCCCAGTACTTACAGTAATTGTCCTCTGTCTTACAGGTTACGCTGTCCTGGTTGTCACTGACCTCGGCATAACAGCGGGCGTTCACCGACTGTGGGCTCATCGATCCTACAAGGCACGGTTTCCACTCAAGGTCCTCCTTGCAATATTTCAAACAGGAGCTTTCCAGGTTACTTGCATAACTGTTATCACAAAATAATCTTGATCCCTACCTGACTCATTAACCTTTACGACATGCTAATGTAGCAGGACGTGGAGTCATCCCACAGATTGCATCCTTACCTTGTCAGCTTGCTGACGGAGTTAATCTCTTTGGTCATGTGGACAAGGCGTCCGATCTGTGATCAGAAGGTCCGTGGTTCGAATCCCATCACGGGACTCTGACATTTTATGGCCGCTACATATGCGCCCAACGTGGGGCTGAGCACGTTCATATCAAATTTGAGCAAAATAAGTCTCAGTACCCTACGATGCGGCCCGGGACGTGCCTTCTGTTGACGGGGAAGTATGTAGCAGGACGTGGAGTCATCCCACAGATGACATCCTTATCTTGTCAGCTTGCTGGAGGGGTTAACCTCTTTGGTCATGTGGACAAGGCGTCCGACCTGTGATCAGAAGGTCCGTGGTTCGAATCCCATCACGGGACTCTGACATTTTATGGCCGCTACACTTACATCGTCACCAATGATTTATTTTCAATACTAGACTTAAACACAGGTTACCAAGGCCTGAATTACTTTCTGTTACTACATGCTTACATCGTCACCAATGATTGATATTCAATACTAGACTTAAACAAAGGGTACCGAGGCCTGAGAGATTTCACCATTATCGCATGCGTACAACGTCAACAATTGTGAACCTTGAATGTTTGAATGAAAAGTTGGCATGTGGTCGTGTTTATCCTGGTGTCGAGGCGTATCGGGATTTTCATTTTTTTTCAACCAACGTAAAGGGGAGCCGAAATCATATTTTTTCACGACACAGTTAACAAATGTTTTTTTCTTTTCCTGTATATTCTGGAACGAGTCGGTATTTTTTTTTTAAATTTAAAACACTCCCCTCATACCTCCCGTCACTCTTTGCAAATTATCACTCTGCATGTCACGATGCTCATTGGTTGTTCTAATATTATTTTTCTCTACAGAATTCAATTTTCGAGTGGTCCCGTGACCACCGAGTTCACCACAAGTATTCTGATACCGACGGCGACCCTCACAATGCCACTCGGGGCTTCTTCTTCTCGCACATTGGGTGGCTCATGGTCAAGAAACATCCGGATGTGATTGCCAAAGGGAAGCAACTCGACATGTCTGATTTGCTCAATGACAAGGTTGTCATGTTTCAGAAACGGTACACAATTTTACACAATTTTATACAGTTCATTCTCTTTAAGATCGATAGCTCTCTGTGTTAAGATTTGAGGACACTTCCACTGAAGTGAACGTTGGGTAAACGTCGTAATCGAGGTTATTTGCGACTTACCGCGTAGGTACCTTAAAAAACACCTGTGAACGAATCTTTCTGTACCAGCAGACATCAGGCTTTCGGGAATAATGTAGAAATGCAAGCAGTGAACCAGTGAGTAAATGTCGGTTAGAGCTAAGGTCAGCATTACACCTCCTATATCACGACAACTGCTTTAAGTGACATTTAGTTGTGTCAAGAGTGCACATTACAGAATATCGGGGAAAGTGTTGTTCCGAATCGATTTACGTACCTTTGCATACAACAAACACTTTCGTTTGGGTGAATGGAAGGGAAAAGTTATATTAACACGTCCCATTTTAATTCTGGAAACCCATTTGTCCAGAAACTCTCAATGCTGTGGCCAGTATCTGTCAAAGGTATTTACAAAATTGAACATGCTGTTCTCTTTGGTACATAAAAAGGAAAGAAAAAATGTAAAAGAAATCTTTCGAAAACTCAAAATTTAAACTATATCGCCCATGGGCGAGAATATTTTCCTTTGCTCAAAACTCATCTTTTTCTTCAACAAATACATAAAGGTATATCTACAAGCAACATGGCTCATGATTCAACTCATTTTAACTTAATTCAACTAATTTGTGGCGTTTATAAAACATTTCGCCTATGGGCGAAAAGGTTTGGCCCATGGGCGAGAATTTTTTCCTTTGCTCAAAACTCATGTTTTTCTTTAACATATATATACATAGAGGTTTGTCTACAAGCATCATGACACATGACTCAACTCATTTTGACTTATTTCAACTTATTTGTGGCGTTATTAAAATATTTCGCCCATGTTTTGGTTAGTCCCTTTGAAGCATTAACTAATTGTGTGCAAAGTATATTGTATCATGTGAAATATACTTAATACTATGTCATCACATTACTATTTAAAATGGACCTTTGGTTTTGGTTTTGGTTTTGCTTTCGTGTCACAATATTCACTCAAGTCTTCCTCAATCGGCTTTAAACATTATTCCCATTGGTCAGTTCGACACCGCATATAATAAGATAATAGAATGTGAGATATTCAGCCAGACGTTTAGCAATGAAAGACGAATCGGGTTTTTTTTATACAATACGTGCACGTGTACCTGTATATCGCACACCTAGTGTCACTTAATTGCCCACTGTGATTAATGGAACGTATAAGGAATGCAAAATCCACTTAAAAGCGTAGGCCGTTAACATTTTACTACAATAAGCAAGACCAAAGATGCGGCGGGCCGGGTTCTTCCGCTCTGTGGCCTCGTCTTTGTAAGTCATCATAAACAATGTAAAGAATAGAGATGTAACAACGAGACATAAAATGGGAAATTCAATAAAGATTGTTACAATATGTACAAAGGTAAAACTTGTGAAACTTCTATAAAGGTAACATCCAATCAAAGGCCCATTTTAAATAGTAATGTAATGAAAGAATATTAAATATCTTTCACATGATACAATATACCTTGCACACAATTAGTTAATACTTCAAAGGGACTGACCAAACATGGGCGAAATATTTTAATAACGCCACAAATTAGTTGAATTAAGTTAAAATGAGTTGAATCATGTGTCATGATGCTGGTAGATAAACCTTTATGTGTTTGCCAAAGAAAATCATGAGTTTTGAGCAAAGGAAAATATTCTCGCCCGTGTGCGACATAGTTTAAATTTTGAGTTTTCGAAAGATTTCTTTTACATTTTTTCTTCCTTTTTATGTACCCATGAGGGCAGCATGTTCAATTCTGTAAATACCTCGGACAGAGACTAGACACGGCATGGAGAGTTTCTGGACAAATGGGTTTCCAGAATTAAAATGGGACGTGTTTATTTAAGAAATAAACGACGAGTGGGAGTTGTTTGTCGTACAGTAAAACATTGCTTCGTTCTTCATCGTTCTTTGCGATTTATCGCGTAGCTATCTTATATACATTGATACAATGAACAAGAGATACAGTTATATGGATATACAACTTCTTTATTACAATGACTGCGACGCTTCGGTGTAGATCTATAAAACACCGTTATCAAGCAAGTGATGAACACATGTACACCTTTAAGTCGCAGTCATTGTAATAAAGACGTTGTATATCCATAGAACTATATCCTTTGTGTATCACGACGGCTTGAACAGAACAGTCTGGAGCAGTCGAACCAGTGGTTGATGACATGATGCTGTAGGGGTATAAAAATGACGGGATAGGAAGTCATGTCACACTTTATGTCTCCTTGATGCTCACTGCAGTCACATGCTGCACAGAGTATGGAGTGCATGGGATAAAGTCTGACCCGTAGCATCACTTAAGGATTGATATATCCTTTAAAGGAGAAAAATATTAAACTAATTTCCACGTTTGTTGCTTTTATTCCCTCTTTACTCTTTCGGGATGCCCTTGAGGATGATTATATGCCGCATCGAACACTATTTCAGTTATAACATGTCAGTCTCTCATCTTTTTGTGAAACATAATCAGGGAGAATCAGGGTTTTATACCTCGATCATAGGTTTCTTGCAGCCTAGAGTACGCAACTCTTCACGGCGGCGCCTTAGACGACTGGGGCACCCGTGTCCCTGGGCATAATGTTAACAATATGATATGAATAATATACAACCCGACACTGAATATGCTGGCTTCTCTACAGGTACTACGTCCTGTTGGTGGGAGTGTTCTGGTTCGCCATCCCCTCCCTAGTGCCCTGCTACTTCTGGGGGGAGACGTTCTACAACTCTGTCCACATCGCCGTCTTCCTGCGCTACTGCCTCGGCATGCACACCTCCTTCCTCGTCAACAGTTATGCACATCTACGTGGCATGCGTCCTTATGACGAGAAAATTCGTCCTGCGGACAACTACATCATAGCGCTGATCGCTAACGGGGAAGGATTCCACAACTTCCACCACACCTTCCCCCAGGACTATGCAACCAGCGAGCTACCCTGGACACTCAATTTAACCTCTGTGTTTATCGACGCATGCGCAAAACTTGGATTGGCGTATGATTTAAATAAGACGTCTAAAGACATTGTGGCAAAAAGGGCGGCAAGGACCGGACAAGGGTCTTTGAAGGGTTGATCTATTCTGTTTACCATTGACCAATTCCTGAAGTACGATATACGGTCAAGAGAATTACTAACATATATGTTGCATCCTTCTACGTGATGCATTTTCTTTTGGATATGATTTTTGCATTATTACCAAGATCTGATATTTTCATGTATTGTTCTGTTACCTCACTGGTCCGCGTCACACCCACCAGTATACGTAATGTACACGCTCTCTGTCACAACTGATTACCTAACGTATCCTCGCGATTTGGACGACGACAATTCTTGAAATCCGTGAACACAATACAATTAGATTTATCAAATTTATGTTTCTGACTTATTTGTTCATAAATACCAAAGTTAATTAATATGACCAATAATGTTACACTCTTCATGGAACAGGGTTATTAAAGTAATGTTCTTTATACAACGCTCAGTTGATATTTCTGGTTAGATTTCATTCTAGTCGTGTGCAGCATTCGATAGGATAAAACAATTGGTGGTGTGATTTCCCTTACCCTGATATGATAATGACATTTGGCTACCCTGATTAGTCTTAGCAAGAGGTTTGTTGTATGCACAGAATATAAGTCAATACAGTCAAAATTATTATCACTTTTCAGTTCTCAATACATTTATAGCACCATGTATACGTTTGCATTATATTATATCATGAATAAATTTGGTACACTTGGGAGTATACTCGACACCTCTGTCCTCTATTATCTAGTGTGTTACATCTCAATAGTATTATGATAAACCCTCTGGACCCATTCTCAACCAAAGATTCGAATGACACGACGCTAAAAATAGCCATCCAATCAAATGGTTCCTTGTCACTTATGACTATATTAAAAGCAGCATGTGTGTGAGTGTGTGCGGCTATTAAAACAACAAAAACAACAAAACACAACAAACAAGCTAGCAATAAAACATTAATCATAAATCCAAAAAACACCAAACCACACTACCTCACAAACTCATTTACTCCCCCTTTCGGACATGCCCTTCCACATCACTAAATGGCCTGGAGGGCCCGTGCGCGAAATACGCATATGTCGGAAAGCGCACGTTAAAACCCAAACTTAGTAAAGTGTGTGTGTGTGTGTGTGATAGGGGTTGGCAGAGGCCTGGTGATAGCTGTCATGAGTACCATCCACGGTGGCAACACACTGCCCTACCTCTTCCAAGTATGCTGGTTCTCCTAATCGATTCTTCGAAATGTATGTAAATTCCTATTACGGGAAATGAGGAAGTACAAACATTATTTAATACTGTAGCATGAATCATATTTTAGTCCTGTATTGCACACGATAACTGACCTACATCAAAGTACACCCCCCATCCCCAACATACATGCACGCATGCACGCACGCACTCACGCACTCACTCACTCACTCACTCACTCACTCACGCACGCACGCACGAACGCACGGACGCATGCACACTCACTCACTCACTCACTCACTCACTCACTCACGCACGCACGCACTCACGCACGCACGCACTCACTCACTCACTCACTCACTCACTCACTCACTCACGCACACACGCACGCACACATGCATACATACATGCATACATACATGTCTATGGTACATTGTCGTTGCGCGTGAAACCGAGACCTGCAAAATAGAACTACAAAAAACAAACCTACTACAATTAGGTCGTGTATTAGCCTAGCCTTACAACTCCCATAAATGCAGCAATTTACTATTTTCTTGAGGCACTGATACATATCTGTGTTATTGATAACTCTGTTATTAAGAGTTGATTGCGTGGACCGGTTGGGTATCAAAGCTTTAATGACGGTAGGTCCAATCACATCAATGCTGAACCTATACTTATGTTTTCAGACATCATTTGTTTTCAAATCGATACGGTCTAGACTTCAATCTATATAAATACATGATTGGGAGAACAACTGAGTGTTCACGTAACTTGAAACTTATACATGATACATGTATACCTTACCTTACATACAATGAGGCAGGTGCAACAACTAGTTATATCTATATACATGAAACTGACATACGATGTGGCAGGTGCAACAACTAGTTATATCTATATACATGAAACTTACCTTACATATAATGTGGCAGGTGCAACAACTAGTTATATCTATATACATGAAACTGACATACGATGTGGCAGGTGCAACAACTAGTTATATCTATATACATGAAACTTACCTTACATATAATGAGGCAGGTGCAACAACTAGTTATATCTATATACATGAAACTGACATACGATGTGGCAGGTGCAACAACTAGTTATATCTATATACATGAAACTTACCTTACATATAATGAGGCAGGTGCAACAACTAGTTATATCTATATACATGAAACTGACATACGATGTGGCAGGTGCAACAACTAGTTATATCTATATACATGAAACTTACCTTACATATAATGTGGCAGGTGCAACAACTAGTTATATCTATATACATGAAACTGACATACGATGTGGCAGGTGCAACAACTAGTTATATCTATATCCATGAAACTTACCTTACATATAATGAGGCAGGTGCAACAACTAGTTATATCTATATACATGAAACTGACATACGATGTGGCAGGTGCAACAACTAGTTATATCTATATACATGAAACTTACCTTAAATATAATGTGGCAGGTGCAACAACTAGTTATATCTATATACATGAAACTGACATACGATGTGGCAGGTGCAACAACTAGTTATATCTATATACATGAAACTTACCTTACATATAATGAGGCAGGTGCAACAACTAGTTATATCTATATACATGAAACTGACATACGATGTGGCAGGTGCAACAACTAGTTATATCTATATACATGAAACTTACCTTACATATAATGAGGCAGGTGCAACAACTAGTTATATCTATATACATGAAACTGACATACGATGTGGCAGGTGCAACAACTAGTTATATCTATATACATGAAACTTACCTTGCATATAATGTGGCAGGTGCAACAACTAGTTATATCTATATACATGAAACTGACATACGATGTGGCAGGTGCAACAACTAGTTATATCTATATACATGAAACTTACCTTACATATAATGAGGCAGGTGCAACAACTAGTTATATCTATATACATGAAACTGACATACGATGTGGCAGGTGCAACAACTAGTTATATCTATATACATGAAACTGACATACGATGTGGCAGGTGCAACAACTAGTTATATCTATATACATGAAACTTACCTTACATATAATGTGGCAGGTGCAACAACTAGTTATATCTATATACATGAAACTGACATACGATGTGGCAGGTGCAACAACTAGTTATATCAATATACATGAAACTTACCTTACATATAATGAGGCAGGTGCAACAACTAGTTATATCTATATACATGAAGCTGACATACGATGTGGCAGGTGCAACAACTAGTTATATCTATATACATGAAACTTACCTTACATATAATGAGGCAGGTGCAACAACTAGTTATATCTATATACATGAAACTGACATACGATGTGGCAGGTGCAACAACTAGTTATATCAATATACATGAAACTTTCCTTACATATAATGTGGCAGGTGCAACAACTAGTTATATCTATATACATGAAACTGACATACGATGTGGCAGGTGCAACAACTAGTTATATCTATATACATGAAACTTTCCTTACATATAATGTGGCAGGTGCAACAACTAGTTATATCTATATACATGAAACTTACCTTACATATAATGTGGCAGGTGCAACAACTAGTTATATCTATATACATGAAACTGACATACGATGTGGCAGGTGCAACAACTAGTTATATCTATATACATGAAACTTACCTTACATATAATGTGGCAGGTGCAACAACTAGTTATATCTATATACATGAAACTGACATACGATGTGGCAGGTGCAACAACTAGTTATATCTATATACATGAAACTTACCTTACATATAATGAGGCAGGTGCAACAACTAGTTATATCTATATACATGAAACTGACATACGATGTGGCAGGTGCAACAACTAGTTATATCTATATACATGAAACTGACATACGATGTGGCAGGTGCAACAACTAGTTATATCTATATACATGAAACTGACATACGATGTGGCAGGTGCAACAACTAGTTATATCAATATACATGAAACTGACATACGATGTGGCAGGTGCAACAACTAGTTATATCTATATACATGAAACTTTCCTTACATACAATGTGGCAGGTGCAATAACTAGTGTATATGCTTAGATATTAAGTGATATGATATGTATATATTATCATCCATTCTTTCCAGCATATACTTAAAGGGGCACTGGTCTAAAGCAATTCCCCGGGACTGGTTATTGCCATTGTTATTGTTTTTTCCCGTGAGTACCCGGATGATATAGCAGAAACCTAGACTAGTTCGCAACCTGTGCTGCGCAATTCGTAAGTGCATTTGTCTTTTTTATTGATAGTATAAGGGCGCATGGTCACATATATCAACAAAATGAAATACAGTTTTGGAAATAATAAGGAAATGTAGGTATCTTTGTGGGTAGCATCGGTAATGGTGACGAACTTTTAATAAGTCACTTACTTGGTAATTGTGCGATTTTCGTTCACACTATTTTGACTTGCAACACAAAGTAAATATTTCTCCTAAACATTGCTTATTTTATCGTGTTTTATCGTGTCAAAATTTGCAAAATTTTCACTTAGGAAATTTATTAAAAGGCTGAATATTCAGTTATTTTACAAATTAACTGAAAAATATGTCCATCTGTATTATTATGATAAAGAATTCCAAACATTTTTATGTTTAATATCATCCCCAAGAGACTAAAAATGTTACGATGAAAAGTACATTTCTATATTGTTTGGCTTCTAATCCTACATAATAATCTATTGTGACGTTTATAGGCCCTTTTGATCGTCTTAATCAGTTTTAGTCAATCTGTTAAAGAAATGGATAGATTTTTCAGTCAAAATGACTGAAATATTTACACATTTTATAAATTGCCTGAGAGAATCACATTTTACAAATTGACGGTAATATATACACGCTTACAAAGGAAAAGACTTGTGAAAACAACGTCTATCGCGCATCGAAGAATTTCCCAATCAAGACGTAGAGGAACAGGAATGAATCTGTCCAATGCTACAGCAAATGAAGGAAAACAAAATGCAAATATCATAATTACAACCTACCAAATTTATGTGTATAATTTTAGGCAGCTTCCTTGTTCGAGGAATGTATCCGTGAATATCCACACAAAGGAGCAATATCCCACACGTCTGCATTTGTACAAAGAAACTTATTCGATGTCACGTGTCTCTGTAACAATCAAATACTTAAAAAAATATATATCGTTTCGGGATATTATAACCCGTGTTCGTGGGTCCTACTATTTAACGTCCGAGGACGCCCGGGAACGTCCGGGGGCGTCCGGCAACGTCCGGGAGGTTTCATCAGACGTCCGGGAGTTTAAAAATACAGTGCAGTCAATAAAACATGTCTTTCTCAGTTTGGTAAGATCGTGAGAATATCAACTGGCGTACGTGTTTGCCATGTGCAGCGGCCAGAAAATGGAAGTACCAGTAACCGGAAGTTTCTGGCCGCTGCACATGGCAAACACGTACGCCAGTTGATATTCTCACGATCTTACCAAACTGAGAAAGACATGTTTTATTGACTGCACTGTATTTTTAAACTCCCGGACGTCTGATGAAACCTCCCGGACGTTTCAGGACGTCTGATGAAACCTCCCGGACGCTCCCACCAGATGCTCCCCGACGTTGCCCGGGCGCTATAGTACCGGACGTTTTACACTCAGTTAACCATCTGGGGCCAGGCATGAACTTTTGAAAATGTCTGTGTTTCAGTATTAGTTATGGAATAGTATACAGAATATGACACTATAAAAGAACATTATTTTTGTTCCATAAGCAAATTTACATTGTATCCTTCAAAGCCTACGTTACGAATACCTCGTCAGTTCGAATAAAATCAAATCGTATTTGCTTCGCAGATTCACCATTTAAAAAGAATAGGAGTGAATGTAATTTTTTTCGAGCTATATGTTATTTTGTATAATTAATACAAGAACACAATTATATAGAATACACTTTATTATTTAGTATCATTCTCCCGGACGCTCCCTGGCATTGCCCGGACGCTCCCGGGCGTTTCCCAACGCCCCCGGGTGTTATTTAGTAGGACCGGTGTTCGTTTCTCAACTGATCACTTAGTTCGTTCGTTGGTTCATTCGGAGATTTAACGTGCGCTTTCCGCGTGTAATAAATTACACTTTGTGCGTATCTCGCACACGGGGAAGCACTTATACTATTGGGGGGGGGGGGGGGGGGGGGGAAGCGTGTCCTGTCCCTACAGGCGTGCGAAAGGGCTCCTCCCCCCTGGATTCGAGGGGAGCGAGTTCCAATGCTGCTGTTGGGGGGCGGAGGGGTAGTGGGTAGGCTCTCCTGGATCTCCATGGCGGCGACTGGTGGAGCCTTCTTCACTTTGGGCGGCCTGGCCTTCTGTACCGGGCGTGGTGCAGCAGGTAAAGGGGCCGGGGTGGTTTTCTCCTTAGGCTTGGTCTTGGCCGGAGCTTTGACCAGAGGCCTTTTCCTTTGACCTAAGTCAAAGGAGATGGAGAGGGTGGAGGAGTTGGACTTGTAGGAAGTAGTCCCCAACCCTGAAAGCCAGCAAGGGCTCCAGGATGGCAACTAGTTCCCTCGGTAGCGACAGAGCGATGTCTCTCATAGTTGAGCGTGGGTAGCGAGCTTGGAAGGACACGTCTGCACGTTGATCACTTAGATTGTTTCAGATGTTTCACATAGGTGTCATGTCTCAAAGGTCTCAAACTATTTTCATTACGTCCGCGGTTCCTAAAAAAATCCATTGAGTTACATAACAATGAGCAATCAATCAATATATTATCGGTTAACCCTTTGAGTGTATTCTATTTGTTCTAGTAAACATAGACATGTAAACACTGACTTTTGACATATCCACTGTGCAAGATAACAGTGATTAATCAATCAATGTATTTTCTGTTAATCCTTTGATGACTAGGAACGATCCGTTGATTTACAAAAAAAGTAAATCAACTGATTATTCATCTCTTGCTGGGCTGCCACGTGCATATCACACAATACACATTTCAACTCACTTGAAACCTGGATTTAGATTGAATAATTACCCCAGACACAATAAATGCCAAATGGGAACCTTTGTCAGGTATTCTGAGCGGTGCTACCACTAATCATACCTGTAATAAATTCATTAACTGAGCATCAAGTGAATGACGACAAATACACACAAGTGTAGGGTTATACGAGAAAACGTGGATGAAAACAAGGGAGTAGTAATCGTATTATCGACGCAATCCGAAAATGCTTTCACTGCATGGATACTCTTTTATTATAAACTATAACAATCATATAACTATTTCTGAAATTAATTTGACGACATCCGAAGAGCTTGTTTTTGTCTGTTTTTTTAGGCTGAAGAAATTAATTAACATGCGCCCTTTGTCGAAATCTTTATAGATCACGGTTAACCAATCAGTGTTGCAGACGGTAGCCCAGTCTCTTGTCACGCTCAGTTGCGTTGCGTATCATCCGGGTACTCACGGGGGAAAAACAATAACAAAGGCAACCACCAGTCCCGGGGAATTGCTTTAGATCAGCGCCCCTTTAACCCGCTGCTATTTCCCGCCAACGGAATAGCAATTAAATTTGTGCTTGAAGATTTTGTTGTTTTAAAAACATCGCCACCAACATTCATTTAATTTAATTGATTTGTTATGTTATATTAAATAGAATGACATGTTGTAAGTTATTCAGAAGGTTTTGAATTTATTACGGCACTTACAACATATACGCCGACCTACTGCTGCATACTGTATGCATTGTCATGTCAAAGCACGTCTGCTCCGAGTACTTGAACACGGATAGTACGATGTACGTACACTTCCTGGTTTCCGCGTAAGAGCAAATAGAAGCTTTAATGAAACCCTAAACACCCACTCACACCTGAATAAAATATTCCGATGGCACATACGTCACGCAAACAAATACAATTGCCTTCGAACGCAAATGAAAGTTGGTCATGGTGTATGAACACATGACCAAAACCCGTCCCAGCTCGAAAGTTCCGCTCCAGTACATAAGCCATCGTTACCATGCCCGAACCAGTTACCTCCCTTATCAATAGTGATGACGCATGTTCTAGCAGTCGCGTGGTGCAGCGCCCTTTACTGGTCGCCTTGTCGAGCGGAGCAGACGACAATTGTTGTTGACTTGAGTTTAGGTTAGTTCCGGGATCCCATACCTCGAGAAGGGATCAACATGGGTGCCCTGTGGTTGATGTCGCTGTTATATCTAACTCATGCAGTGATGTCTGAAGGTAAGGTCATAGTTTCAATGATGATAATGGTTAAGTTTGTCTACCTATAATGTGTAAATTTCTCAGTTCAATGTGGTGGTTCACCAACAACTGTCATTAGCCTTTCAAGGGGCTACAACAAGTCAGCATTGGGGTACAGTGCTCAACCAATACAGTGTATTGAGGTCGCCATTTGTCATAACACACCTTCACGTTTTCACATCTACGTTTTCTTCCGGTTTATGTTGCTATACGATATGTTTTTGTAGAGCAATCGAGGATATGTCACAGCAAAGGTGAGTGTGTACATCAGGTTATTTTCATTTGTTACATTTCTCTTATTTCACGAACAATCGTGAACCGCCTGACTTTCAATATTTTTGTGTATAATAGCTAATAAGCTGTTTAGGTTTGATATCATATAACGGTTTGTGTTGGACATACAAACCCGTTATTCCAAACACAATGTCCCTCTAGTGTGTAGGTTCTTTGTTCCATGTCACTGGAAAAGAACCTGGAACGAAATACGATCCTCAAACAGTATAAGCTACCGTACCGTATACCCCAGCACGACTCTTGGTGAACGTTACAAACGTGTATGTTATCATTCTTGACCTCAGCACGACTCTTGGTGAACGTTACAAACGTGTATGTTATCATTCTTGACCTCAGCACGACTCTTGGTGGACGTTACAAACATGTATGTTATGATTCCTGACATCAGCACGACTCTTGGTGGACGTTACAAACATGTATGTTATCACTCTTGACCTCAGCACGACTCTTGGTGAACGTTACAAACATGTATGTTATCATTCTTGACCTCAGCACGACTCTTGGTGGACGTTACAAACATGTATGTTATCATTCTTGACCTCAGCACGACTCTTGGTGGACGTTACAAACATGTATGTTATCATTCTTGACCTCAGCACGACTCTTGGTGAACGTTACAAACATGTATGTTATCATTCCTGACCTCAGCACGACTCTTGGTGAACGTTACAAACATGTATGTTATCATTCCTGACCTCAGCACGACTCTTGGTGGACGTTACAAAGATATGTATGTTATCATTCTTATCCTCAGCACGACTCTTGGTGGACGTTACAAACATGTATGTTATCATTCCTGATCTCAGCACGACTCTTGGTGGACGTTACAAAGATATGTATGTTATCATTCTTATCCTCAGCACGACTCTTGGTGGACGTTACAAACATGTATGTTATCATTCCTGACATCAGCACGACTCTTGGTGGACGTTACAAACATGTATGTTATCATTCCTGACCTCAGCACGACTCTTGGTGGACGTTACAAACATGTATGTTATCATTCCTGACCTCAGCACGACTCTTGGTGGACGTTACAAATATGTATGTTGTTATTCTTAACTTCTTTTGATTATCTATGAACACCAGTATCTATTATGCGTTTTTAGCAATATAAATCATTCATTACCGGTATAATATTATATGCTGTACTTGAACATAAATCATCAGATACATGTCAGACAGATTTGTTTGCTGTGTTGAGAGGCGCTATATTTACTCCGGCCTCTTACTTCACTGTACCAAGTGTGTTGCGTCAAATGCCCCCGAGCTTGATAGCTGTCGTTTGTGTGTTTTAGGTCTTAGGATATATTGCAACAATTAAGACATATTACCTATTACCTATTACATTAACTATCTTTAGATGTATGACATGTTAGAAACTCGCGCCTACTCTACCCATGAATGCACATATTGGTAAATGATAAAAAATAATCAAAATACCACACATTTCATGAATACAGTGTGCATCTAACTCGCACAGAGTGACCATCACCCGTACCTTGTCATATATAACGTGTGTATTGCGTGACTTTGCTGTTGTGGAATGCGTAGTTGTACCTTTTAATCTATGTCACTTCGGGGACACCAGAAATGGTTCACACATTGTACGCATGTGGGGATTCGAATTCGGGAAACTAGGCTACCTCATCGCCCCTGATTTTATAGAGTAGATTTTATAGGTTGGTCTGGGCACGGACTGGTATATAGGTCCGTGGACGGGGTTTCGAGAAAAACAACATAGTTAAGTGATTTAATGTTATTACATAACCAAATAAAACACATCATTAGGGGTATTGTTTCTTTCACTTAGAACATGCAACTCTACTTGATAAGCTTCAAGACAATATTTCTGTTGCTTATACATGTTCATATGAGTGGACAAAGGACATAAAATTATATTAAGTAAGTATCGGACAGAGGAAAATGAACGGTACATCACATGATGGCATTATGACATCACGAATGAGCCACAAGCTTAATAACTTGTGTAACCTCTGTACAATAGGTGTGACCCTCATCCTCATACCACGTGCGTGCATATGCAATTTATACAAATGTTTCAAATACTTTGGTATAAAGTGAGAAGTACAGAGAGTTCAAGAAATGTACAAACAATATATGAGAGAAGTATAAATAATTGTGAGTACATCAGTACTGGTACCATACATACGGGAGCTGCATGCCTCGCCACACTACTATGAATATGAATACGGATAAAGAACGAAGTGTGATGAACAGGACGTTGAAACTCCGTGAATCTGGTCCTCGGTTCTTTGGAAATCCTACCTTCCAGGCGTTTATAGACGTTAGGAACGTTTATTTACAGATATACAAAGTCACATAACTCATTGCCTGGGTCTTGTTCATCCGGATCTGGGTGGGTTCTTTTTATGGAATGAGAACTTACTTTTTGGAAATGAAAACGTGTTTACTTGTGGTTTTAAAATATAAACTAGATCAGTTAATCGTCACATTTTCATTACTCATTTATCTCTTGTTTAAGTTCATTTGATGTGTTGAGCGCAAATAGACCTTTACTGGTCCAAGTCGTCCTAAAAGTCAAATACCATACCATATAATACCTTGTTTGTCCGGGTATATAGCAATCTCTCAATACACATCTCCAGCTCACTGACCGCCACGCTTCCCCGAGTTATCACAAACCTGGCGCTTGGTTACCGGCCCAGAGAGCATCTCTTTTGATGTCACTGGGATTGAATTGCAACAATCCCCGTTACTGTGGTATAGAGCCTTACTGTGCCAGGGGATCTTTGGATTGATTATTTGCAGATGTTAGTGTTGTTTCTCTAAAGGCTATCCCAATGGAAGTTAAACTTGCTGACGGCAATGTCAGCCGTGACGTCACGGAGGTGTTGGAGACAACTTATAGTGATCTTCTAATTTGTGCTAGTGCTCAGATCAGTCTGTCCCACAAAGTGAACACAAAGAGAACAGTGAATTGAATACCAAAATAACTCTGGAGGAAGTGAGTCAAGCAAAATGGGGGAAATCACCGGGTTTTGAGAATGTACCTGTAGATGTTTTAAAGAATGAGGGGCGGTCGGGTAGCGGTTTAAGCGTTTAAGCGTTCGCTCGTCACGCCGAAGGCCCGGGTTCGATTTCTGATATGGGTACAATGTGTGAAGCCCATTTCTGGTGTCCCCCGTGATATTGCTGGAATATTGCTAAAAGCGGCGTAAAACCATACTCACTCACTTTAAAAAAATGACATGTGTATTTACTTCCTACATAGACTATTTTCCACATGTTTTGAGACATGTTACGTACCCTCCAGCTGAGCCAAGGGTATTGTAACTCCTTTCCCTAAATCCGGTGCAGACGGCCCAGCGACACCCTGTTGTACCGGGGTATCACTCTGGCCAATGCGTCATACAAGCCCTACTGTATGGTGTCCTGAACAATAGACTAACTAAGTATGCAGAAGAAAATGAATGTATTCACGACTACCAATACGCTTTCAGGAAAGGACGTTCAACTACTGAACATATGTCTAGTTTGACTTCAATTGTAGAAAGTCGCAAGTCTCAACGAAAATCTACATTTACAGCCTTTATAGGTTTAAAAACAAGCCTATGACTGTATCGACAGAAGTTTATTATGAAGTAAATTATAGGACATTGTATCAGTGGAAATATGTTTAAAGGTGTTATGTCACTTTATAAAAATGTTAAAAGCTCTGTACGGGTAAATGGTTCATATACTCCATGGTTTCGTGTAAAATGTGGTTTGAAACAGAGCTGTTTGTGATCTCCCTTGCTTTTTAATTTGCATGTTAATGATTTTATTGTAACGATTACCAATTTGTCCATGGGTGTAAGGCTGGTATTTTAGCATGACGATGATATTGTTTTAATCGCTGAAAGCGAGTGTGAGCTGAATGTTATGCTCGATTGTCTGCATAACTGGTGTGTATCAAACAAAATGATTACATACAATGCCAAATCTAAAGTTTTGGGCCGCCTCGCTTCGGTTGCTAGAACCATTGTTTTATTTACATCTGGAGATTTTGCATTGGAGATTGTAGATTGTTATTATTTTTTAGGTTTACCTTTTTTCACAGAACACTTAGATTATGGCCGTTTGGCAAAAGCTGTGGCATGTTCGGCAAACAGCGCGCTAGGCCTACTTATAACAAAATATAACTGGGTGGTATGCAATATCTGACCTACCCTAAGTTGTATCGTTCTATGGTATGGGCTACTGTTGAATATGGTGTTGCAGTTTGGGCCACTTATAATTTTTCTTGTATTAATGCTGTGCATAATTGTGCCATGCGTTTCTGTTTAGGCTTACGCAAGTATGCGACCTTATAATGGTGTTATCGGTGATGTGGGTTGGTCGCCTACTGGAGTTAATCAGTGGAGAAGTGTGTCGAGATTTTATAGACGCTTTTGTAAATTAGATGGTAATAGAGCAACTGCCATTTTTTTATTTGGAGTAATGATTTAGCAATGAACAAAAAAGAAAAATGGAATTATAGAGTTCATGTCAAACTTTGTGATCTTAATTTTGCTCATTTAAAAAACTTAAACGTTGATCATCATATCCCTTATGTTGTATCACAAATTACTGATGTTATTTATAAAAAATATGTACATAAATGGACACTTGAAGTCTCGCAAGCAGGTAGTAAAACTGGAAGAAGTGGTAAAAAACTATTCTACTTTTAAATATGAATTTAGTTTTTGAATTTTATGTAAATTGTAACATGTCTCGTCCGTATAGAAGGGCACTGGCCCTTTTTAGATGTGGTGTAGCTCCCTTAAGAGTTGAAACTGGGAGATATGATGGATGTCCTTTATCTGAAAGAATTTGTTTGAGGTTTTATGTCCGTTAACGATAAAGATAAGGTTCATTTGATACTGTCATACCCTGAACTGTGCTTTTTAACCACCAAAACCTGCCATAATATCTTTAGAAAAACTGCTAACTTGTGTATTCATACGTAATATCTATTTTATTGTCATTGTTTACGGGTTTATCTAATACCCTTAAGTAGTTGGCTCCTGGCTTCTGATTGGTCGAGAGGATCATGTGACCTCTGTGCCGTCACTTCCGGTCACGTGACCTGCGCAGGGCATGATGGGTCCTGCGTGCGGTGGCGTGCGCATCCAAGATGGCGTCACATCCGTTTCCGGTGCCGTGCGCACCTCCAAGAGGGCGTCACATCCGTTTCCGGTGGCGTGCGCCTCCAACATACACGAGTGCCAACTCCTCGGCGTGAATGAACGAATGACAACGTCATCATCCTATGGATAAACGTGTGTTTGTAGTCACGCGCGACACCACGTTTGCATGTCAATACGAAGTACATGACGTTTGCATGGAGACACGCGTGACAGTACGTATGTAGACCTACGCGAGAGCCAACTCCTCGGTATAAATAAACGAGTGACAACGTCATAATCCTATGGATCAATGTCTTTTGGAAGACACACACATGACACTACGTCTTGCATGAAGACATGAAGTACATCACGTTTACATGGAGAGACGTAGTACACCATGTGTGTTTGAAGACATGAAGTACATCACGTGTGCATGGAGGCACGCGTGACAGTACACATGTAGACATACACGAGTGCCAACTCCTCGGCGTGGATGAACGAATGACAACGTCATCATCCTATTGATAAACGTGTGTTTGTAGTCACGCGTGACACCACGTTTGCATGTCAACACGAAGTACATGACGTTTGCATGGAGACACGCGTGACAGTACGTATGTAGACCTACGCGAGAGCCAACTCCTCGGTATAAATAAACGAGTGACAACGTCATAATCCTATGGATCAATCTCTTTTTGAAGACAGGGCGATCGTGTATTGTAGCCCACTATGACAGCCGTTCGTCTAAGTTAAAAGTCGGTGAGTGGCGATCACCTTAGCGCTACTTTTCAGGGCCACCCATCTCTCCCGAAAGAACTCTTTCATCCTTTGCTTTGACGACCCTCAAACCCAAACAAAGAACCCGCCTCCTCCGCCCTCCCTCCCTCCCTTCACCACCACCGCCTTTTCTATTTCTATTTTTAGAACAACAAAAGAACAACAATGTCGATCTTGTTCACCTTTCACGACCGCTTCTCTGGGTTTTTTCCCCCTTCCATCCTCCTCCCCGAAAACGGATGCGACACCCTCTTGGAGGTGCGCGCGCCACCGGAAACGGATGCGCAGCCATCTTGGATGCGAGCGCCGTTGGAAACGGATGTGACGCCTTCTTGGAGGCGCACGCCACTGGAATCGGAAGTGACGCCCTCTTGGAGGTGCGCACGCCACCGGAAACGGATGTGACGCCATCTTGGATGCGCAAGCCACCGGAAACGGATGTGCCGCCATCATGCCCTGTGCAGGTCACGTGACCGGAAGTGACGTCACAGAGGTCACGTGATCCTCTCGACCAATCAGAAGCCAGGAGCGGCACCAGACCGCTGCTGTCAACTACTCCCTTAGTTCATAGTTTATTTTGTTGTATGCATAATAGTCTCTCGGAATTCCGCATGGATCAAATGTCAAATGTTGACTTGAGAGCCATATAAAATATCTGTCTATCTGTCTATGATGTCTATGATGTCACTTGGATTGAATTGCTACAAACATCGTTACTGAGATAAAGAAATTTATGGTTGTCTATGGTAGAGGCTTACTGTGCCAGAGGATTTTTGGATTGATTATTTGAAGATGTTATTGTTGTTTCTCTAAAGGCACTCTTGAATTTCCCTTTTCAAGACACTGTTAAGATATGTCTGTGTATTCTTCCACACATGTATAACGTTGAGTGATAAGATCACTGGCATGTGATTGTTTCAGATGTTCTGTTCGAGTCTGGCAAGAGACTGATCGTGGTCGACCCAGCCACCGTCGAGGGTGGCGCTTCTGAATATGAGGACCCAAAGGACACTGGTACGTCCAGTCTGTTATTTTCACAATGCTTTTATATTTGTCACTTCATTGCCAGATCACTGTGTATCGAATGACATTTATCTGTTACTTGCATGCGTTTTGGAACCCTCTCAAATTGAAATCAGTGTAATTATTGTAGTACGTACACCCTATGTAATCATGGGACATGTGCAATCAATATGTTGTCTGCTTTACGACTGTAGCTCAGATGTTGCTTGATCAAGGTTACAACATTCAAGGCCTCACTAAAGCTTTCAAAAAGTTTTATGGTAGACATGTAGGGGCCATTTCCAAATCTGACGCATCAGTGGGACAAAGATTATGTAAAAATGAATTTTGTTGTTCTTACTATTACTGATATGACAAGCAAGCGTTTTCCAATCGCTGTTGTCAACTTCAACTTCTTGTTTCCTAAAACTACCCTACGGTAGTACAAGATGATCTTGGTGAACAGCGAAAGCAAGTTGATGAATCAAGACAGCAGAGGCTACCATCAATGAACTTAGATAGTTTCTTAAGCTCACTTATGTTATTAATAAATAATAGATCCTTGTATTTTGAGGTGTGTATAAATTTCTGATAAATTATATTAGTTCCATAGCCTTATATTTCAAAGGCATAAAGTATAATAAGTGCAACAATTGCATCGAAATCACTTTAAAGGCAGTCAAAGGGTAAGTTAATATTTCTGGATCCTTTCACTGAACATTTCTTTCGTAGCCTTATATCCTTCATTGCAATTTAAAATCTCCGATTTGTATGGAAGGATTATCATAGATTTACATAAGAATCATTTAGGTCACAGTCACCAAAGACATATGATAGATTTGCAGACTGCCTGTACACAGGATTGTAATATCAGTCTGTGGTGTGTTTGCATCTAACTTCCATTTGTAACAGTACAGATATGAGTCACGTGACTTTTCCAAGCTTGTCGGGTCTTCACCAAATAACACTGCGTTATATGCGTATAGTAATATAAGACCTTTTAAGGATATAAGAAGAAATATCTTTTGTACACACTTCGCATTCACACCTTTACTGGTATTTCGTAATGTGGTGTTCAAGATCAATACACATACCATAATTCTGTTTGACATGTTATGTTACTAACTTGTATGGTAGAAATATAGAACATGTAAGGATTTGTACATCTGACAACATTTTTGTTTACTGCTCCTTTACAGGTGGCATGGGATAAGCATGCACGGTGTAGCACGGACCAATATATACCACTAGCACTCTCTTACAAGATTCTTTAGTTCGTTTGTTTTGCTTGTTGTTGCTTAACGCCGCACGCAGCAATATTCCAGCTCTATGACGGCGGTCTGTAAATAATCGAGTCTGCACCAGACAATCCAGGGGTTGACATCAGGGGCATCGATCTACGCAATTGGGATACGATGACATTCAGCACGCAAGTCAGCAAGCCTGACCACCCGATCCAATCGCCTCTTACGACAAGCATCCGTTGCTGAAGATGAATTCTAACCCGGATGTTCACGGGTGATTATTATGTAAACTATGTTTGTCTTCTTGTAGGGTCCAAACTGTTTAATAGTTCCCAAGACAACAATGACAAGAAGAGAATGTCCCTATTGGTGATGATCTACAAGTTCCGTTCCAAGAGTTCAAAGTACTTCCGCGCGCATCCTGTTTTTGTCAGCTGTCTGCAGCAAATCCTGAACGATCTCCAAAACGAGGACACACCGGTGAGCACCCTGAAACATCGCAACAGTTGCACTTGCTTGTTTCATCATTCACAAACGATCTATAGGACTGATTGTGTGAACAGGGGCCGTGGCAGTTCTATTTGCTATGGCAGGGAAGGGTGTTGCAAAAGGCAGGAACATGCCGCCGAACTAATTCGTAGACTTGTATCAATACTTTACACCGTCGGAATGTTGTTAGATAAGCTAATATGAATTCATTACGTTAATGGCAAACAGTATTACGGAATCAATAATATGATTTGCAACTTAATTACTTGACAGTAATATGTGTGATATGGTTGTAATTATATTGTTAAAAACACTCAGTCTACTTACAACATGTGTAGGTCGGGTACGTAGAACAAATTTTCACTTTTATCCAAAGATATATCTTTCAAATAATAGTCAAGATAAAAACTGCAACGACGTTTATTTCTTTGATGATAACTGGATATAAGTCGTGATATTATCAGCGGACTTCGCGGTGAGGTGATACATATCGCGGATGTTTGGGTGATAAAATATGTGTGGACCTATTCAGGCAACCAGGGCCCCGTTCCACAAAGCGACCGTAGTGCTAAGACGATTGTAACTCCCACACTTTAACATAGACTTGCGACCGTGGTAGCGCTGCGTTAGCTTTGTGGAACAGGTCCCAGAACAGACGATTTACCGTCTCACAACAATAACAGAATGTATGTCGTGTTTATTATCACTTCTTTGTATTGTTTGATAGGCCTTCTTAAAAGTTGACGGATGACAAAGTTAATGGATAACAACTTCTTTATTAAAGAAATGAACAACGAGTGGGACTTGTTTATCGTTCACTTAAACACTCATGATTTATTCTCCCTGCAGTGTTTTATTGTACGATCAACAACGGCCATGAGCCGTTTATTTCTTATGAGATATAATATTATGTAAAGCATCTTTAAGGATCTTAATCAAATGTACGAGCTTTAAAAATATTTATCCGTATTTAAATAATGGCAATGTCGGACAAGTCCCTCCGTGAACAGCGGGGGGTGGGGAGTGATGTGGATAAATTTGGGTGCTCTTTCCCGCATATTCTCATAATTTGCACGTCGTTTTTCTGTACCTTTTCTCCCAATACCGATTGTCGTATCTCTCCAATTTTGGTGCGATCGTTCGGCCATTGCGTTTATCTACGTTGCCCAGCTACATCTAAGAGGAAAACTCACAAGACACCCCCCCCCCCCCCTGTCACAAATAGCGTCGTCCAGTTTACCACGTCAGCAAATTGTTAAATCTCCAGGAATGACGTCTTGGTAGAACAATGTTTTATCCTGAAATAAACCACGCTTCGTTCTTCATCGTTATTTGTGGTTTATATCATATTATAATTTGATAGCCATGTTTCGGTATAGATACGTTGCTAAATTGCAGTATAATATAGAAGTTGTTACCCACTCTTTGTAGTCTATACATCAGTGGGCTGTAAGATGCTCTCATTGCTCTGTTAATGTAAGATAATGTTTCTCGTTTATGGGCAGGTCTCTAGTGGCTACAAGACTAAAACCGATGTCATGTTTCTCTTTTAGGCGCAGATCTCTAGTGGCTACAAGACTAAGACCGACGTTGGGGGAAGCACCTCCATACAAGACCTGTATGCCCGGGCTGGCACTGGAGCCTACCTCAAGTTCAAGGATGGGGTCAATGGTGATGTGAAGAAAATCGCCAAGGCAGCGCTTAAACACTGTCCGGTCATTTTCGAGGTATAAATTTGTTTCAGTAGAAATTCCTCAAATATGTCTCAGAGATTTCCTTTCAAAATAATCGTGTGTAAACCTTTAGTTGACTATCCCCATTTGTATGTGTTTGACTGTACTATGATTGACACAGCGTATTCAGCGAGATATCGGCATCATCATGACGGCCACAGGGATGCACATTCACATGACAGGAGCTGACGATCCACAGCAACATTTCAGTGCCGAGTCCGGCTTCGAGATGAACACTGCAAGCTTCGAAGCGTGGGCGCTGGCCTCGATCAATGAGGGATTAGGTCTGTAAATTATGTATACTGCTCTTCGTAACTTAAAGTAAAGCTGGCATAATGTGTCAAAAACGCAGGAAATAACACGCCACTTGCATCGATGTTGCAGTTGTCAGCCCAATAGTTTAGGGCGTGTATAATTCGGTGATGGCCTCTGTCGAAGGATTATACCATCCAACACTTACTCCACGTGCTTTGTTTATATATTACTTTGGTTGCAAACTTTGATAACGACTGAAGAAACAAACGTAGATATCAAGGAGTATCCTAAATAATAAGTACATTGCCATCTAATGAGGCCTATATAGGTAGAAGCTGAAACCATAAGCATTGCCATGAGTACCCGAGGATACACGTGTCATACTATCAATTGTGATTTCATCCTCCACTAATAGACCCCCTCCAGTCCCCCGATTGCAGTAAGTTCCTGGGTCTGGACAGCGGTCAGATCCACCCCAGTGATGTGACCACACCTGAGGAACTGGTTGGAGTGGTAGACCAACCTATCACTAGAGACACGCCAGAAGACTTCATCAAGTAAGTGTAGCGGGTTAAATGCTGTACCCAGCTGTACCCAAGTTATACAACTAATGCAGGTGTCTGAGATGATGTTTTCTTTTTGCCCCTTGCCCCGTGTTTCAGACTGGTCCAGTATCAAGGCAGCAATGTGGTGTTCCCAAACCCTGAGGGGGCTGCAGCCTGGTGTGGGAAGGAGGACATCACCTGTGTAGACTGCACAGCCTCCCCGGCAGGCAACCATGTCTCCAAGAGGTGAGCCACAGATATGATGGTTACATGCTGATGCAGTGACCCTAATACGTAGCGACCATCTAGTAATCCCATTGATGTATGGATATGTATATTTCCTGAGGCTGATTACTGCATCAACTAGATGTGTGTTTTAAATCGTAGTAACTAATGTATCACTGAATAGTCAGCTATGGGCGAGACATTTAAAAAAAAAAATGTGAACGAGGTACTTTTGCAGGTCCAATACTTATTGATCATACTGTGACAAGGATTGAAATTTGTCAAACACACTTTGTCCAGCTTGTACCACCAGAGTGTTGATTGTTTATGAACCTTTCGGGTGTATTTACCAGATGCGCCAATCGCCTGATGAGTGCCCGCATGTACAGCTTCGTGCGTGTGCTGCAGAAACTCACCAGGGACAACATCAGTGGAAGTGAGTGACGTCACACCTTATAAGAATGACTGTAACATAAATCAAGATTAAGGATATTGGGTCACCTTACGGGAACTACTTTTAATAAGTTACAAGCATTGATGAAATATCTAATTGCTCAATAACCGCTGCCTAACGTTCACAATAAAAAGTTTAGAAATGTGCCCAGCGATATGTTTTTATGTGCACAAACATAGCTTCAGCAGATTTGGTACTAATCTGCGGTTCAATCTAGCATATTAAAGTTACTTTAGTGAGAAAAATTACGTCTTAAATATCAATTGTTTTAAGATATTATATGACAAAGAGATTATTGACTTTGTGCTTTTCCGCGTCGTAAATATGATATATGATAGACACTGATAATGATCTTTGAATATGGTCCATGCTATTTATGTTGATAGAGAGTTAATTAAACAGGGATGTCATGGTGTTCATCTTCATAATATCACTTTACACCACAGGCAAACTGAAGGTAACGAAGGCATATGTCGAACCATACGCTGGACAAACTGACTATTCGGCCACATCGCTTCATGTAGAAGGGAGGCAAGTGACTCTTCAGCTGGACACTGGCGCCGCGGCTGGATTGAAGACTGTCACCAAATTAGCCCAATGCATAGGGGTGGATTTCATTAAGCACAATGGTAATCATATTTCAGTGTACATCAAGAGTATCGACGTGTCCCCTAAAGAATTATCCACCTACCAACCAGTTGACTCTTGTTACAGCAACCGTTTTCTCCCAGTATCGCATCTTAATGCTGCCACCGAACTACATTGAATTGGGTTGATGCTAGTTTGCTACATTAACATATAGAAAACAAAGGGAAGTTGGCAAAATCGCGACAACATTTTGGCTTGTACCGTAACTGGATCGACAGACACGAACCTAGAATACCAAACCACCTGTGACATATGTTTATGCGTCTACCTCGATTCAGGCGACCACGTGGTTCTTGCTGTGAGGAAGATGAAGGGTTATAAAGCACAGAAGGTAGACTTCCAGCAGGCGATGATCTTGGCTGTCGAACCGCCACACAGTAAGGTCGGCGACTACAGTCTCCCAGAGCAGTTTGACGAGTCGGAATTGGATGACTATCCATTGTTTGACTCTAATGGACAGGTCAGACGATATAAATTTGTATATTCAGAAACCTATATAGATTGTTTTCATATGAAATTATTCACAGTCGAATATCTCAATATTTTTTAAAATATAATAAAACATAGCAACTCTCTTTCTAAAATAAGGTTATTTAGATGATAAAGTAGAATATCTCATTTTCAGGAGGACGACTTGCTGGCTGAGGATACCACTCTGGGGCAGTTCACGTCCAGTGATCCAGAGTTCCGCTACTTGCGTCTTAACCCGCTCATCGCTAAGTGCTATTCTCTGCTGCTCCACCAACACAACAAGTGGAACGCCGAGGGAGGTACAACTTAAAACACCTTACTTTCAAACAACGGCACTTACTATTCAGCCAAAAATGATAATTCACGTTACGTATTTCTTAACATGAAACATCATGATTATCAGTAATCAGATTTCGAGTCACATCTTATACATAAATAGAAGTTGCTAATAGTGCTACACTCGTTTTAGTCATTATGTGAAGAGAATTTTGACTGGTCATTTGAGTGATCAGAACAAGAACACAAAATGTTATGTTTGGCGATCGAGGATATTCCGTGAAAGCAACTCAGGCTATGTGTGGAACTACATGGAACATGTTAACAACATGATGGTAACTTCTATTGGTTGAACTTACGTTCCAGCAGAGTGACGTTATTATCTGACTGTGTATATATTTTGACAATCAAAATATGCTTCCCAGTATATATAATATCTTCATATATTTGCCTGGTTGCTGTTCATCCCAGTCGACCAGTGGAGACAGTATTTACTGCACATGTGTGGGTATAAATAGTATCACCATATTTGATGTCGACTTCCACCTGAAAGAACAGGATAAATAGAGTCCGTCAGTCGTCACGCGTCACAAGGTATTCTTTCAGTCAGTCCACAAATGCATATCTGGTAGCTCATGGAACCTTCACGATCCGGGTTAGAATTGATCTTCAGCAATCCATGTTTGTCGTAAGAGGCGACTAACGGGCTCAGTAACTTGGTTGATGCATGTCATCGTATCCCTATTGCATAGATTGATGTTCATGTTATCAATCCCTGGATTGTCTGGTCTGGACTCGTTTAATGACAGAGGGTCGTCATATATTGGATGGTGGAATATTGCTGTTTGTGGCGTTAAACAACAAACAAACATATATGAACTCCCGTAAAGATGGTATGATACTATAATGTAACGCATTGTGGCCCAGATCCAGCAACAGATATTGACGTTGTCCGCGGTTTCATCTCCACCAAGGAGCAGAAACTCACTATAGACCCATTCGACCAGCGCTACAACACCTTCATCCTCGGCCTGGCCATGGAGGTCAAGTACAACTCGTCACAAAACCCCAACGGTCACACCTTACCCCAGCTTGCCCAGGCCGCAGTGGACACGTGTGCGCCCGTGTTCGCTGAAGGCCGCCAAGAGATGGGGATGGGGCTGTACGCTGATAGGGTGTTTGTGGACATGAGGGACGAGTTTGATGTGTGGACAGATAATGTCAACCTAATACCCCATGAATTCGGCAGTCTGGGTGTGTACAAGGCAGAGCTGAAGATACGTTTTGATGCCTCCAACGGTCAGTTTCGTTTAAACATACACTTGTGGGTTTTGTACCAATGACCATCAACATAATTATTGTACAACCATTCATTCATAATTATACAGCGATTACCAAATGGATGACACAATTCAACCAGTGGACAATGTTTAATAAATATATGCTATAAATACACCAACTATACTTCCATTGTGATGACAACGTCCTATTTTTAGAGAACAGAATAGTGGACCCCGATGACATTGAAGAGGCTAAAAAATCGGCCAACGTTCCCTACAGGCAATCCCCCCTCTTCCGTCACACACCCCCACCCCATGTACTCCGACGACGACGGGCTGCCCCCGACCCTGACGACTGTGTGCCAAAGACTGACACGTCTTTCTGTGACAAAACGAAGCAGTTCCGAGACAAAGAAATAGAGTACATCTGGACTGAGGTGATGCGCAAGTACCACTACCATGACAGGGATGAGGTGAAGCAGGCCCTGGAGCGGTGCATGGGGCAGTGTGGAACATGTATGGAAGGTAAGCACACAGGTGTATAGCAGGAGACTTAGTATGTCAAATATATATCCATTCGTGACCTACCCGTGCCATTCCGGGACAAGTCAAATGGACACTCGTGTCCCTCCCGAAGATGTCCATATTTAATCCAGCCGTTTGGTGACAGATATGGGGTCAATTGTGTACTTTGTGATGACATTCCAAATATTTTAAGTCATGGGCCCACGCAAAAACATCCAATAGAGAAGATGGAATTCTAGTAAATGCCGTTCGGGTAACTAAATATATTATGAAAAATGAACATTGTCTGTAAATTACATGATTGGATATATAATATTTAGTTTGATTCAGGTAATCTAAAGTATGAAAAAATATGCATTTCTTTAAAGTGGTGTACAATGTGTCATCTACACCTAGCTCTGCACCCCCTCACTCACTTACAACTCCATCTCACAAGCTATTGGCTAGACTTATAAGCTTGTGGTAGTGTATTCGACAAAGGCTCATAGCCATGTGCTACTGATCTTACCCATCGCAGGTCATGTTATAATGGTCATGAACAGATTATATGCGCTTCATCCCTTTACATTCTGTACTCAGCACTTCAGGATCAACATCATATTTCCGTTCCATAATGCTGAGTACGAAACACATTAAATCTACTCCAGAACATAGTACATACCCTTCTTTATTGTGTAACATCACTAAACATTAATTAAACTCACACAATGTATTAAGGATTAACAACATTTTAGACTGTGGCTTTCACTAAAGATGACTGCCAATTGTGTACGGCGCAATCTATAATATAAACCTTTGTTAACAAGTATTTGTCACAAAGTGACGAAATGTCCCCCGCCTGTATATACACCATAGTACCAAATATGAAGACAATCCAGCGATTAGTTCTTGAGATATTGCGGCAACACCGTTTTCCAGCTCCAAAAACAGATTTGCCTGCTGTGACCTTGAAAATGGGGTCAAGGTCACCAAAACCGACTGGTGTATGCGGTGTCTGTATATACACCATAGTTCCAAATATGAAGACAATCCAGCGATTAGTTCTTGAGATATCGCGGCAACACCGTTTTCTAACTCCAAAAGCGGATTTGCCTGCTGTGACCTTGAAAATGGGATCAAGGTCACCAAAACCGACTGGTGTCTGCGGAGTCTGTATATACACAATAGTTCCAAATATGAAAACAATCCAGTGTTTAGTTCTTGAGATATCGCTGCAACACCGTTTTCCAACTCCAAAAGCAGATTTGCCTGCTGTGACCTTGAAAATGGGGTCAAGGTCACCAAAACCGACTGGTGTCTGCGATGTCTGTATATACACCATAGTTCCAAATATGAAGACAATCCAGTGTTTAGTTCTTGAGATATCGCGGCAACACCGTTTTCCAACTCCAAAAACAGATTTGCCTGCTGTGACCTTGAAAATGGGATCAAGGTCACCAAAACCGACTGGTGTCTGCGAAGTCTGTATATACACCATAGTTCCAAATATGAAGACAATCCAGTGTTTAGTTCTTGAGATATCGCGGCAACACCGTTTTCCAACTCCAAAAGCAGATTTGCCTACTGTGACCTTGAAAATGGGGTCAAGGTCACCATAACCTAATGGTGTCTGCGGAGTCTGTATATACACCATAGTTCCAAATATGAAGACAATCCAGCGATTAGTTCTTGAGATATCGCGGCAACACCGTTTTCCAACTCCAAAAGCAGATTTGCCTGCTGTGACCTTGAAAATGGGGTCAAGGTCACCAAAACCTAATGGTGTCTGCGGAGTCTGTATATACACCATAGTTCCAAATATGAAGACAATCCAGCGATTAGTTCTTGAGATATCGCGGCAACACCGTTTTCCCAACTCCAAAAGCAGATTTGCCTGCTGTGACCTTGAAAATGGGGTCAAGGTCACCAAAACCGACTGGTGTCTGCGGAATTTGTATATACACCATAGTTCCAAATTTGAAGACAATCCAGTGTTTAGTTCTTGAGATATCGCGGCAACAAACAGGTGGGACGTATGGACGGACGTACGTACGTACGTACGGACGGTCGTGAATACTATATCCGCCGCTTCGCGCTTTCGCGCGGCGGGGGACAATAAACAGATACAAACATATTCTAATCACCAACCAACTGTGTAATCTATACTGTACTAAAATCATACAGAAATAATAGGTTTTTGACGTGCCTTTCCCAGTTTTCATATCTCCCATGACATGTAGATTTCAGCATGACATACCATTGTTAGTTGATAAGTTCTAAGCCTCACATAGCAGAAATTGGGTATTTATAAAATCAGTTGTTGTGGACATTACTAGTCAGAGAGGTACATCCAAACAAAACAAAACTTGGGCAAATTGAGCAAATTGTTTCGCTGTGTCAAGTCAGTAACAAGCAGGGCGTCTGTGACCTGCTTGGAAAATGGAGAAAATGAGGAACATGTAGTGATCAAGAACTTGCATAAAGGGCGCTTAAGAAAGCCACCCATGAAGATATGAATATACAAGGGACGGGTGCCCCTTTCTATGCCACCGTAAAGAGGTGGGGAGCAGAGTTTAAACGTGGCAGGGAGAGCTTCAAAGGTGACCCTGTCCTGGAAGGCCTTTGACGTCAGCAACACCTGAAATGATCCAAAGATTCCACGATGATGATGATAGGACAAGCGTCAGTTTGATAGTTCAGAAGGTATTTCCGAGGAGAGATTACATCCCATTACTACAGAAAAGTTGGCAATGAAGAAAGTATCAGTCCGTTGGGGTTCCAAAGCTTCTGACATCTGAAAACGTAGCTATAACTGAAGCTGATCCAGAAAGGTTCTAGCAACGATTTGTGACTTCAGGTGAAACCTGAGTTCACCGACTGAATCCAAAACAATGAAGTTGAAGCAGTTGAAGCATTTGGCATAACCAAAGAAGACAAAGACTGTCCCTCAGCTGGAAAGGTTATGGCCTCTGTGTTCTGAAATGACGATGGTGTCATCATGGACTATCTTCCAAAAAGCCAGACAAAAAACAGAGAGCATATTATGCTGCTCTTTTGGGGCAATTGGGGAATAAAGGCTAAGGGTAGTGGAAAGCTGAGAAAAGGTGTGCTCTTCCACCATGACAATGCACCATGACAAATCTGTCATTGCGATGGCTGTAATCCACGAGTATGGCTTTGAACTCATATGTGAATGTGGAAGGGGATTATGAGGAAAAAGAAATCATTTTAATGTCTTTGGGTCAGGTCTGTCTATGTGGTGTGAGGCTCAGAACATATTAATCACCCTTCATGACATTGGTGTGGGTATATCCTATGGTGTATCTTATCCAAAATTGAATGCCCCTAAAGAACTATGCTATATTAAGTGGATATCTTCATCATTCCCCATGAGCATTTTCTTGACAATATGCTGTATTTCGAAACCACACCATTAATGATGCAACTATTGATGTATATACATTATGCGTCACAGGAAGTGTATACGAGAGTAAACTGGAGCACTGTGATAACTTCTTACACTGGGTTCCCTTCGGCCTCATGAACGACAACACCATCTCCAACTTCTTCCCCCGTGATAACACCGAGTTGAGACGCTACGCCAGTCTGGAACACAGCATCGAGGATGCGGAACTATTTCACCTCGTCAGTAAGTGCATGTACACACGGAAGTTTGGATAAGCAGTTTAACACCACAAAATATGCTATGTATGTGTATATTTTTTCCTGAGCTAGGTGACCACTAGCTAGCTTACCACACATTTGGACTGTATAGCTGACACCCTAATTGTATTATATACACTGACACACTATGATAACGCATAGAGTTTTTTTCGGGATAATGTTTTCAGACATGTAACAAATATTAATGAACTATTGAACGCTTGAAATGCAACATATGTACATGTGTTGGGCCCGTTGTCTGTGGTCAACTGTTTGGTGTTTCTGGAAGTGGACAAGAAAATGAGAACACATATCTTCATTAAAATTCACTGTCATAACAGAGTATCTTAAAGATGATTCATATTAAATCAGTGGTATTTTTTATCTAGTCAGCTCTGCTGAAGCAGTGTTCCGGCCTGACCCAAAGCAAAGTGTAGAACAAGAGCTGTACCCTCAGGCCGAGAACCCAAGCCCTGTGATGATGCTTCTACACCGCCTGTATGCCATCCATGCCACCGGCAAGGTCAAGTTCTGGGTGTACGATGACATAGACATCTCCTCGCTCAGAGAGCCACTTCAGGTTTGCAATTGTCAACCGTTTTCATAATACAGCCGATGGTGCAAGTAGCATGTATTGGGGATAAAACACGTTTCTCCCTCACTCATACGCTCAGAAAAGGTAAAATGAGCGTAAACATCCAAATTAAACCATTATAAGTTGTCAGACTGTTGGTTGATAATGGTAATGCTGTACCACAAGAACGTGGCAGAGGTGGAGGTGCACCTGTCTGGCGCAGGCAGCAATGATGCTGTCTTGTCGGACTGACTGTGTGTTGTACAGTTGATGGGTTGTCTGTTACAGGTTGTAATGCTGTACAACAAGAACGTGACGAGTGTGGAAGTGTACGTGTCCAGCCCAGGCAGCAAGGATGCTGTGGGTGCTGCTGTTGAGAACATGATCCTGGAGTGGTCCACTAACGGCTACCCAGCAGTCACCAGGGAGTTCATAGCTCCATACACACTCATGGACCTTCCGAAGTGTAAGTCAAGTTATTCAATGTTAAATGGGAAGAGGAATTATCCAAACTAGTGCTCACATACTATAGCTCATCTGGATATGTAGTCAACAGTTTAAAATGTTAAATAAAATGTGACAAAACACATTTCCATGATCTTAAATCTCCATAGTATGATTCTGACTATATCGTGAACATGCGTTTAGTGATGATACCAGGTGTTCATCCTTCTTTAGGCACCCATCACATGCAAAGACAAGTCAAATGTTTTACACGGAAACATATGGTAGAAGTCAAAATAGGGAATTGCATCAGACATTTTGTCACTGATGTGTCAAATTTGGAAATGTCCTCCACATGTCTGCCATAAATAAATTGAAAAGCTTTGCTGGGGTCTTGAATGCTGTAACCTTCATCAAAAAAAATTGAGCAAGAGTTGTGTGAAGCTCTTTGAAATCTAAGAACAAGCATGCCCAATTGTAGCTCAAAAGTTGAGAAAGTAGACAAAGGCTGGAGCCTCTGGAATAGTGCTAGACATAAAGGGAAAGTTGACTATTGGAAAGTTAGTCTTGTCATACATTCTTGTTTTGTCACTCTGAATCTTTATGCATACATCTGAATATGAAGCAGATGAGGTTTCACTGGTCTCTTTTATTCCTATATCAGGTGGCTAAATTGGTGGAAGGGACCTGGTTATTTGACCGTTATTGAACAATATCAGATATCATTGATATACCTGAAGCTTAAGTTAAACTTCAAATCCCTTGTTATTGATTTTGCCAATCCAAGCAGAAATTCTGATTCATATGCAGAAAGGAACACATCAGCAGCAAGGGAGCACAGTTGGTACCTATGGGTATGCCTACTTCTTGCTCATATATCTTTTCCCTTAATTCCACATGGATGTATCAATGAGGAAGTCCAGCATTTCACACATTGTTGTTTTTTTCAGTCAACTTCAGATGGCATTTACTTTCCTTTTTAATAAACTGTCCTGAACCTCTGCATGGAGGTGTAAATATGCCCCTGGTCACCATGTTTAGTAACAAAATACCTATTGATCAAGTAACGCAGATTATTTTTAGTTTATTGTGTTGGATAGTGGTGTACAAAGTTGAAAAATGAAATGTTTTGACATAATTGAACTTGGATCTTTTCTAAGATTTCAAACATTTGAGCAAATCCTTTGAGGTTTTGAGAATCCACATGGTATGAATTACCCTTAAAATTGTCTTAATTTTTTTGGGAGAATACAAAGAAAGTCCTCCCACAATTGCATTAAGGATTGTGGTTAATCTTTGACACAGGGATATGGTGGAACAGTTTCAGGACCCAGCAATATATCTCTCTTTGTGCCGATTTTATGGAGCTTTGGAATCCAGTACAAAAGAGGAATAGACATGAATTCAGGTCAATAGGTGCTGGTATGGATTTGTGGATAAATCCTCGGTTAACATACTGACCTTATATGTATCATTATTTGACATGTCACTTCTTACCAAGTTCTTTAATCAAAACATTATTGTAGTGATGCTTTCATATAATTGTTATGTTATTTGAGGCCTTGTCGGTGGGAAAAACTAAAATATTTTCATGTAGGGCAGCCAGACATAAATACTGATGCCAAAAGTATAAACAAATAAATAGGACAAGTATCTAAATTTCCACAATGTTTCTAAATCTGCAAGAATGAATGTATTATTTAGAACATTTTTTGCTACACACATAGTTACATTTTCGTTACACAAACTCTGAAACTTATATATCTTCCTATGAGAATATGGTATTTTCTAATAGTACATAGAATGCTTTCAATGTTTTATAAAAACACAGTAAAATCCCAATGTTTTGAAAGCAGGATGTCATCATCAGGAGAAACATACTTTCCAAAGGTCAGCTTCCTCAGACTGGCATTTTAAGAGATGTTTTGGGGCAAAAAAATGCTTCAATGATCAAGTGGTTCAGTGTTGATCGTACCAAACAATGCATTTTAAGAGAATTCAGGGGCATGATCCAAAGTGCAAAGATCAAATCGTGGTCAAAATTTAAAATATCGTAAAAAGCAGAACATATATGTTGAGACCCACATTTAACTACACATGTACCAAATTTCATTATATTTTGAACAAATATTACCTTTTGACTTCTAGCATTTGGTGTGGGACATTCTTAACTGTAGACACTGTTCATGTTTGGAACCTGACTGCACTTAAATGTCTGGGGTGTAGTTTTATAGAGAAGTTATCTTGCGGTTGTTGTTGCAGATGTGGCAAAACGAGATGTGGATATTGCTATCCGTGAAGATCTGATTGAGCGCTACACCAACAGAGAGAAGAGGTGGGTGAACATGGAGCTGTAGGAACCATGCTTCCAACATTCATCTGCTACAGTCCACAGTCCACAGTTCAACCACTTACATCTGCTGTACAAACATACAACCCGTCCTTGAATCGTATATTTTTGTGAGTAACACTCTCTCACTCACTCACAGTAGTGCAGCATGCAACCAACAATGGAACATTTAGAAAGGAGAGACCTTCCTTAAAACACCTCTCTTTGAAGTCCATGCACTTTCTTCATTAATGGCCGACACACAATCTCAACTGAACTACATCTAACCCACCTCACATCTGTGAAGCAGGTAGACTATCACAGTATCTGTGATAGAAGTTTTTGTATCAACCCCTATTGTAACACTTCTTGTATAAATCCGTGTGTGTGAAAAAAATGATAAGCTACACAATGACTCAATAACTATGCTTTAAGTCTGTCAATCTTCAAAATACTAAAGAAGCATTTTTATACAAATATTTTACATAGATGTATGATGTAAGATTTTTCCATTTTCATTCAAATACAAAAAGTATCTAGAGAAGAATAAATAATAATATGATGTAAGCATAAAGTGCATTCTTGTCCATGTCTAAGTTGTATTAGCAAAATGCTTTAGTTTTTTTACCATCTTTATTCAGTAAATATTTTGCATCTAGACTTTTCATACTTTGTATACATTTCTTAATAAAATGAAATTGTGCTGTGTATGGGTGTTGTTACTTTGACATGAATGATAATGAAGATCTATACTATGATCACAAGCCATTGCTCACTAGTTTCGGGAATCTTCATCAAAGAAATTTTGTTGAGTGCAGAAAAAAGACCAATGATTCCAAGTACATGTAAATAACACTGTATGATGACAGCATTCCAACTCAAAAGGAGCTGTATCTTGTCTCAAACAGTTGTGATTTGTACAAATTGCTGTGAGAATTGCTACAAGTATCATGTTTACCATGTATGTCACCAGAAATATATCAAGGTAGCATGTATAACATTTCTCACCTGACAATCCAACATACCAGCAGTATATCAAGGTCGCATGTACATTTCAAACCTCACAATCCAACATACCAGCAGTATATCAAGGTAGCATGTACATTTCTCACCTCACAATCCAACATACCAGCAGTATATCAAGGTAGCATGTACATTTCAAACCTCACAATCCAACATACCAGCAGTATATCAAGGTCGCATGTACATTTCAAACCTCACAATCCAACATACCAGCAGTATATCAAGGTAGCATGTACATTTCTCACCTCACAATCCAACATACCAGCAGTATATCAAGGTAGCATGTACATTTCAAACCTCACAATCCAACACACCAGCAGTATATCAAGGTAGCATGTACATTTCAAACATCACAATCCAACATACCAGCAACAATAAAACCTAGAACACAGTACAAGTGAGATAAAATAGGATTCCTTCACAGACTCTCGAGAATAAAAGATTGGCAACAAGGCTTGAGAATTTTATTTATTTTTTATTCAACTTGAGGCATAATTGACAAGAGGACATTTTGTTTGGACATAATGTTAGCGGCAAGGTCAGTGTGGCAGTTGAAACCAGGCCTGTAGTCAGTCTACGTTCCGCTGTCTGTGTAATGGGTAGTCAGTCTATGTTCTGCTGTCTGTGTAATGGGTAGTCAGTCTACGTTCCGCTGTTTGCGTAATGGGTAGTCAGTCTACTTTCTGCTGTTTGTGTAATGGGTAGTCAGTCTACATTCCGCTGTCTGTGTAATGGGTAGTCAGTCTACTTTCCGCTGTCTGTGTAATTGGTAGTCAGTCTACTTTCCGCTGTCTGTGTAATGGGTAGTCAGTCTACGTTCCGCTGTCTGTGTAATGGGTAGTCAGTCTACATTCCGCTGTTTGTGTAATGGGTAGTCAGTCTACGTTCTGCTGTCTGTGTAATGGGTAGTCAGTCTACTTTCCGCTGTCTGTGTAATTGGTAGTCAGTCTACTTTCCGCTGTCTGTGTAATGGGTAGTCAGTCTACGTTCCGCTGTCTGTGTAATGGGTAGTCAGTCTACATTCCGCTGTTTGTGTAATGGGTAGTCAGTCTACGTTCTGCTGTCTGTGTAATGGGTAGTCAGTCTACATTCCGCTGTCTGTGTAATGGGTAGTCAGTCTACGTTCCGCTGTCTGTGTAATGGGTAGTCAGTCTACATTCCGCTGTTTGCGTAATGGGTAGTCAGTCTACTTTCCGCTGTCTGTGTAATGGGTAGTCAGTCTACATTCCGCTGTTTGTGTAATGGGTAGTCAGTCTACTTTCCGCTGTCTGTGTAATGGGTAGTCAGTCTACTTTCCGCTGTCTGTGTAATGGGTAGTCAGTCTACATTCCGTGGTCTGTGTAATGGGTAGTCAGTCTACATTCCGTGGTCTGTGAAATGGGTAGTCAGTCTACATTCCGTGGTCTGTGTAATGGGTAGTCAGTCTACTTTCCGCTGTCTGTGTAATGGGTAGTCAGTCTACATTCCGCTGTCTGTGTAATGGGTAGTCAGTCTACATTCCGCTGTCTGTGTAATGGGTAGTCAGTCTACGTTCCGCTGTCTGTGTAATGGGTAGTTAGTCTACGTTCTGCTGTCTGTGTAATGGGTAGTCAGTCTACGTTCCGTTGTCTGTGTAATGGGTAGTCAGTCTACGTTCTGCTGTCTGTGTAATGGGTAGTCAGTCTACGTTCCGTTGTCTGTGTAATGGGTAACCAGCAGCAAGTTGATGTAGCTGGCCTTGGTAACAATACTCATCAAGCTGTGACATATAATCAATTGTCTTACCATGATAACAATGCCATGTCTCCACAAACTTGTCCATATCACCTACTCACAAGATTTGGATATCTTGTAGATCTTCATTTTAGTTTCTCCTTCTATCATGTCTACAGCAACACAAAATGGAATAGACAGTAAAACTTCCTCACAGTCCTCACAGAACCAGAAGTAAACAATGGGACAAAAAAAGAAATTCTAAATAGCTACTTAAAAATTATTTACTCAGTCCCTGTTCCATTCAAATCTTCATGAAACATGAACATTTGAACATTACCACAAACATATCATGGTCACAGTTCCTGTAGGTTTGTAGGTGTCTCAGAATAAGCCTATGTGGACACGATGGACTGGAAATATCTCCTTTTCAGAATAATTTCATTTGTTTGTTGTTATTTGTTTGTCCAGCTATATCTGCATATTCCAGCAGTCTGTAAATAATTGAGTCTGGATCAGACAATCCAGTGACTGACATGAGAATTGATCTACACATTTGGGGATACGATGATGTGCATCATCCAAGTCAGTGAATTGGACTCTTAAGTAGCCAATAAAAACAAGCATGGGTTGCTGAAAATCAATTCTAACCCGGATCTTCACAGATGTTTTCAGAATTAACAATGCTTGCAATATAATAAACAAGATAATCTACAAAAGATGAAAACTTAAAAATGTGAAAGATCCATCTACATGAATCATAATCATTTATCATAATCACAGTGACCAACATCAAAATCAGGTTTGATCAAGGACATCACTTACATGACCTTTATCATAACCAGTAAAGAACATTGTGTACATGATCCTTATCATGACTGTCAAAGAACATCACTTACATGTTCCTTTATCATTACCAGTAAAGAACATTGTGTACATAATCCTTATCATGACTGTCAAAGAACATCACTTACATGACCTTTATCATAACCAGTAAAGAACATTGTGTACATGATCCTTATCATGACTGTCAAAGAACATCACTTACATGTTCCTTTATCATTACCAGTAAAGAACATTGTGTACATGATCCTTATCATGACTGTCAAAGTACATCACTTACATGACCTTTATCATAACCAGTAAAGAACATTGTGTACATGATCCTTATCATGACTGTCAAAGAACATCACTTACATGACCTTTATCATAACCAGTAAAGAACATTGTGTACATGATCCTTATCATGACTGTCAAAGAACATCACTTACATGTTCCTTTATCATAACCAGTAAAGAACATTGTGTACATGATCCTTATCATGACTGTCAAAGAACATCCCTAACATGTTCCTTTATCATAACCAGTAAAGAACATTGTGTACATGATCCTTATCATGACTGTCAAAGAACATCACTTACATGTTCCTTTATCATAACCAGTAAAGAACATTGTGTACATAATCCTTATCATGACTGTCAAAGAACATTGTGTACATAATCCTTATCATGACTGTCAAAGAACATCACTTACATGTTCCTTTATCATAACCAGTAGGGGCGGTCGGGTAGCCTAGTGGTTAAAGCGTTCGCTCGTCACGCCGAAGACCCAGGTTCGATTCCCGACATGGGTACAATGTGTGAAGCCCATTTCTGGTGTCCCCCGCCGTGATATTGCTGGAATATTGCTAAAAGCGGCGTAAAACCATACTCACTCACTCACTCACTCACTCACTAGCTCATAACCAGTAAAGAACATTGTGTACATAATCCTTATCATGACTGTCAAAGAACATCACTTACATGTTCCTTTATCATCACTAGCCAGAACTTTGCTAACATGACCCTTATCATAACTAGCAAAGATATAGCTTACATGGATTTTATCATAACTAGCAATGACATCATCACTTAATTGTACATGACTATTTTTATAACTAGCCAAAGATCTCATTAAACTAGCCAAGACATCACATACAAGGATTTCATCATAAATAAATATATTGGCTAGTTTTCTAAAGGTTTGGTTTCACTGGGGTTTCTTTGAAATAATATTGACTTTGAACCAACAATTCACCATGATCTGATAATGTTTCGTGTCGATTCGAACAGAATAATGTCACAGCAGCAAAAAGTCATCAACAAGTGATGAATTATATCAGCGAAAAGTCAGCAAATAACATGGCCTTTATCTGGTCATAAACAGACACACATCTCCCTGTTCTACATCATAATTATACATACAATAAACATACATACAAACATAACATAAAAGCACATTTTTGTGAAGCATTGAATATACCTGGATTAGTTAATGATACATATGTCCCAAAAATAAATCAAAACACTGGATTGTTTTGAGTGTCCTCTCATCACACCCTAGCACCCTATCTTGTTCAGCATAGCACAGTTATCACAACTGTAGTGTCACAACATCAATGACAGCAACACTGTAGTTCTAACTGAAATGATAACAAAACTGTACAGATCTTATTGCTGTTATTGGGAAACTGTTTCAATCTGTTCTTAAACCATATAGCATCACATCACTGTTTGGAACATCTACATGCCTTTAATCATGTTTATGTTCCAAGCTCTATACCAAAAACGTCATTATCAGAGTGACTTAACACCACTTTGAACAGTATTTTGGTTATATCACAGTCTGTCAGATTAATGAGGGAGGAAAGTCCAAAGTGATGTAGGTTTTGGACATTTACAACTTTGGTGAAACCGACAAGCATCAGTATGGAATCAACAAATCTAGAAACAATATTTGGGTCAATCTGGTACTTAAAGCCATGATTTAGGATTCTGGCATGACTCTGCAACTCTGCATTGCTCCAACATACTTTTCAAAGTAGTAATTATTTACAAAAATAACTTCTGCCTACCTATCAGGCCTATACATACAAAAATATGGTCAGGACAGCCCAAATTAACATTTGATGTACTTTTCAATAAGGCCAAGCAAAACAGTAGGTAGGTTATCTG